GAGAATTTGCAGCATGTACACTTAACGCAGAGAATAAATACCCCAGATAAATAAACCTGCGTGGTTCCGATTTGATTTCTTATTCCACCCAAGCACAGAATGGCTCAATAGGATTAATAAAATACAGAGTGGGGGTATGCATTACTATCAGCTTGGGGACAAAATGTAAAAAAAGTCCACACAATTGACAGACAACGCATCTTCTTCCAAATGAGAAAAAAGCCCCAAAACTGGTTTTGGTCTAAGTTTACCCAGTGATAAGTTTAATTTGAGATGAGATCACTTCATTGGCCATATACAATTTCTTGCATTAGGAATTTGTCTTTTCACATACCCCAGCTTGCTCTCCATGAGACACACAGACAGGGAGAGAAGCTTGGGGTCAGAGCACAGGGTCAGCCATTTATACGGCACCACTGGAGCAGTTGGGGTGAAGGGCCTTGCTCAGGGGCCCAACAGAGCAGGATTTCTCTGCTAGCCACTGGATTTGAACCAGCAACCTCCTAGCCACAGGCGCAGATCCTTAGCCACAGAGCCACATTTGAGTCTAGTGTGGAATACTACATAAAACTAGAATAAGAGTCAATGGGATTGACACCAACAACCAAGTGTGCCAGATAAACACAGCAAGTGACATTGTTAAGGTGGTGCTTGTGCAAACATTTCAAGGAACAGATGATGAGTAGAACAAATAAAAACCGAAGTGAGCACATAACATACAGCATCAAAGCAAGATGAAACAGTTCATGGACATTATTAGGAAAGGTTCAACAGAGTGTTTCATCAGCTGACAGTCAAGGGAAAGCCTCTGTAGTTTCCTTCTAATGGAACCTGTTAGATTAGATTACACCCGTCACAATGAAACAGCCAAGGTCTCTTCACTTTGATCTTCCGATAATTAATTTTTAATGCATTACAAACAGGAAATGAAACACACAGGTGTGCAGCAAATGTTTTCAAAATAACCTTCACGTCAAACATCCTGACCCCAGCTGTTATAACTTTCAAGTCTGGAACAGGTTAATGGACATTGATCTTCCATCAGTCATATCACCCTGCAATTCACAACTAGCAACCCACTGAAGCTCAGCAGGTGTGAGCCGGGTCAGTACCTGGATGGGAGACCTCCTGGGAAAGCTAAGGTTGCTGCTGGAAGAGGTGTTAGTGGGGCCAGCAGGGGGCGCTCACCCTGCGGCTCACATGGGTCCTAATGCCCCAGTGTAGCGACGGGGACACTATACTGTAAACAGGCGCTGTCCTTCAGGTGAGACATAAAACTGAGGTCCTGACTCTCCGTGGTCATTAAAAATCCCAGGGCGTTTCTCGAAAAGAGTAGGGCGTCCTGGCCAAATTTCCCATTGGTCTTTATCAATCATGGCCTCCTAACAATCCCCCTCTATAAATTGGCTTCATTACTCTGCTCTCCTCCCCACTGATTACTCATGTGTGGTGAGCGTTCTGGCACACTATGGCTGCCGTTGCATCATCCTGGTGGATGCTGCACATTGGTGGTGGTGGTGGAGGGGAGTCCCCATTACCTGTAAAGCGCTTTGAGTGGAGTGTTACATGTAAGTGTAAGCAATTATTATTATTATTACCAGAAAGCTGCTGATCTTGGTGAATGTTACAGGAGCCTCCTCCAGAAGGCTAGATTCTAGTCCATTGAAAGTCTATGGAGAATGGGACAGTTCAGGATAGTCATAGTCAGTATATCTATGGCAGGCGGGAAGAAACAGGAGTAGGAAATGTTAACACAAGCCTTCTGAAAAATATCAAAAGGTGTAAAAATCAATCCCCAACATTTCTCTCGCCAGTTCCTTCAGCATACCCCATTATTTGTTACATTTACATTTTTGGTTTATAAAAGATTTGCATTTGCCACGAGACAGTGCTTTGATAAGACACAGTATATGACCTCATGCTTGAATGTGCTTTGCAGCATCAAAAATTTCCAGGACAGCATTTTTATCAAGCATCCAGTATGGTCTTACTGTAAAAGCCAAAGGGATAGGAAACAGGTTAGATTTTTAAACACTTTGGATAGAAGACTCAGATCATTTCTAAAAACCCTAATGAGACCGCACACTAGAGATAAAGAAAGCAAATTTATGGTATCATGCAGGGACCTGCTCATACAGTTAGACAGCATGGCATGATAAATGTCACATTACAGTCTGGGCCTGTACGTCTGCCATTGTAATTCAAATTAACGGTGATGATGAATGTTCTTTTGTTTCACCACAATCCCCATACACATAAGCTTAAAAGGAGCCCTAGTTGGAAACTTGGAATATTTACTACAGCATCAATATCCTTGGCACTTTTACCAACAGGCAATATTCAAGATGCATTGTGCTAGACAAAATGTAATAAAACACGCATTTTCTTATTAAAGCTCTCTTCAGCTTCCTTTCAATTTGGAGATCCTTTAAGATGCAAGCACATAAAAGCCTACCTCCCAGAAATCATGCCTTCCTTCAGACAAAGGAACGAGCCTACACAAGTGCCTGCAATGGGCCATCCACACACTGAAAAGGATATGTCTGCCTCTCCTTTGAGTCATTAAACTGCGTGCTGTCAACAACGTTTTGTTCAGACACAATTTAAAACGTCTTCTCAGATCTTCAGACGGGGTTTGAAAAGACCTGCAGTGTAGGCAACAATGCCACTGCTCCGAGGACAAAAGATGCCCCTCAGACAAAGTATTAATCTGAGGCAGAAAAATAGAATATCCAGACCCAGCAAGTGTGCAATGAGACAAGTTACTGCAGTGTAATCGTGACATTCAATCGAAAAACAGTGCTGACCATCTATCAAACAAGGTGTGTGTGTGTGTGTGTGTGTGTGTGTGTGTGTGTGTGTGTGTGAAATCCATATATATTTATACAGAACTAGTTGTCCAGCTACTTCTTCCTGGTAAGGATCATGGTAACAGACAGCCCATACAGGGAGCACAGTTCACAACACACTGTACAAGACACCAGTCCATCACAGAGTACAAGGCTGAACTACACTCTGAACAGGACGCCAGTCCATCACAACATACACACACAGAGGGACAGTTTAGAGATAGTCCACCTAGATAGCACGTCTTTAGAAAGCTGGAAGGAATGGGAGTACCCAGTGAAAACGCACACAAATAAAGGGCACCCCAGTGCAGTTTCCACCACAAGGCCTAAGAGGTGTGAGGCATTGACACAGCATTCAGTTTACAGAAACTAGCCTTCACAGTCTGGTTTACTGAATTCAAGCATGGTCTCTTCCTTCTCATTCAGCCAGCCTCCTAGAATAGAGCAGAAACCACCGACATCACAGTAGCCTTACCATAACAGATGAATGAAACCCGTTCAGACTGAGCGTATGGTGCAGAGCGCTTTCTCCCACGTCACGCTAATTCTGGACAATTTCCTTCATTTAAAGAAGTGTTTCATTTTGCATGCCAGCCATTCCACACCTCCCAGCAGACTACAAAGGCTTCTTTTCTTCTCAAACCTCCTGTTTTCCTTATCTTCGGTCAGGTAATGACCTTCACCTGGTGCTATTAATCTAATTAAACAAAAGAACTGCTGCAGGTGCAGCTAGCTCAACTATCATCTATTCATCGTGTTAGACCTGAGCTGGATTATAATATATAACTTCAACTTCTCTCTTAAAGTACAGGGTTGGTCAAAATGGAGTCGACAAGTATAAATGCAAAATATTTCCTAAAGTTTTGTTTATTCCTCCACAGATGGCGAAGGACTGTAGGGTAACTGTTAGGAACTTCGATATCTATGCTTTTGTTTTTCTGTCACAGTAATTCATTTGTTATAAACAGTCAAAGTTGTCGACAGAATTTTGATGAATCCTGGATATTGAAATATGTTGTTTCTTAAATGTGATTAGTTTTGCCTAAAGAAACAAGCGAGAACCCGCCAAATAAAAAAGATACTAACATGAGTAGACATTAGACATTATTAACCTGTGATTAGCCACTATCCCACTGCTTGTGCACTGGCAGACAAGAATGTTTGTCGAAGTCTTTCCAAGTGCTAGACACATTTGTGCCTAATATTCAGTTGATTATATTGTAACATAACTTTATTAACTCTATACAATTTCTTGCATTAGGAATTCGTCTTCTCACATACCTCAGCTTGCTCTCCATGAGACATAGACAGAGAGAGAAGCTGGGGGTCAGAGTGCAGGGTCAGCCATTGTACAGCACCCCTGGAGCAGCTGGGGTGAAGGGCCTTGCTTAGGAGCCCAACAGAGTAGAATTCCTCTGCTGGCTGTAGGATTTGAACCGGCAACCTTCCAGCCACAGGCGTAGATCCTTAGCCACAGAGCCACCACTCCACCCAAGTGGAGTAATGTAGCTCTTACATTAGAGATGAAATGTCCAATGGCTTGGATTCCAGCACATAATTTTCAATTAGCAATTGATAAAGGCCCAAGCAATCTGGTGATTTAATGTTTTAGTCAAATAATTATTTAAATTAAGCAATTATGATCAGAAGTGATAAGAAAAGTAATGGACCCTCAGGTCCTCAAGCCCTGATTACTTATGAATCCCAGGGTGTGTTTTGGATTTTAATTCCTAATTGCATAACTGACATTTTCTGAGCTACACCATTTCATAATTCATTTGAGAGCTGAAAACAAGAAAGGCAAAGCGTCAAACATAGCTGCTAAATCTGAACTGAGCACATAATGAGTTTGATTTTTACAGTTAAGGTTTTCACCTGGAATAGAGACCTGCACTTGTTCAGGAAGTTAAACGATTGGATTTTTAGAATTGCAATGAAGAATGTCTTTAATTTAAAATCTAAGACAAAAGGCACTGACACGGTCAATTTCACTTTCAAACTTAAATCAGTTGAACTTTGTAAGGATGATACATGTAATGGGCAACAGAGTGGACAATGTCATTAACCAAGAGACAGTAAGGTGGATTTCTTCTCTGGTTCAGTCTTGCGGGATGAATATGCAATCAAAGAAAACTCATGTAGAAGCAAAACTTGGTGTGAAATTCTTTATTACTGTTCTTAACCAGAAGATATTAAGATATCATAAGAACAATGGAAAAAAAAAAATAAGACAGGAACAGTGAAGCTTGTTTTGTTACTTTCTGACAAAATACAGTATCTCAATGCACCATAAAGCAAAAATAGAAACATATAGAATATAGTCCCTACACTTCACTATGACCAGAAAGGAAACAGTTTAAGGTTTAACAATAGGCATTGGAATATCTGTGCACCACGAAATTTGTCTCATTTTTTCTTCTCTTCAATCTGTTCCACTTCGCTGGACTCATCCACAATCTTGCCGTTAATCATGGTCTGAGTGACAACCTTCACAATCTTTCTCGTCATCACATCAGGCTCTGCAGGAAAACAGACAAGATTAGCAGAATGTGACACTCGAGGACACAGGAGAAAAGTTTTTCATGTACGGGAAAGGCCCAGAGAGGTTAGAAATCGTCCTGCTCCACTGTTATGGTGCAGAAACAACATGATTTCATTTCATTTCAAAAGTTCAGGTTTAAAGGGCATGTGCATAACAGCATATAGGAAAAATGTAGATTTTTGCCGATATGTAGTCGTTTCCCAATAAGGACCCCACATTTGTGAAAATAGTTATGTTAACTGTTTAAATAGTTTAAATCCACAAATTCAGGGAGCACTCATCAGTTCACATATGTACTCTCATATATGAATTAACTGTCTTCATTTAGGAGAACTGAGCATGTCTCAGGTATTTCTTAAAATAGGTACAATAGGTAGAGCAATAGTGGTCTGTCTTTATCCTGGGGATCTGAATGTGTCTTTCAGTCATATTTAATCATCTAGATGAGATCATTACTGGTCTTGAGGGACTAATCTAACAACTTTCCACAGCTCCTCAGGTGCTGATTCTTTAAGGAGACCTTCAGGTCAGTTGTAGGAACTTTAAGGGCTAAAGGATATTCAGAGTTTTGTTGGAAATGACCTTTCAATTATTCAATGTAATACACCATTACCCGTGTCCCTAATTAGGATAACAAGTAAATAGCTCCAAGTCTTTAGAAAAAGAGATTAATTTAATGATTGGTTATAAAACCTCCCGATTGGGGGTCTCTTGGAGCCCCCTTCTCCATCATCTCAGAATAAATCAGGCATGAAACCTTCATTCTTAAATGGGTAATTTAATCAAAATCTGAATCAAATGAAAATACAGGACTTCATATTTCAAGGCTGGACTAAAAATGTCAATAATGAAAAAATGGCTTCAATTTTGTGTTCACAAAGCCTATACAAGGTTCTGGGCTACATTGCTCGTATTCTGTGCTAGTCCTCAAATCTGTAATCCACTCATTCCAGTTACAACCTGGCATATGAATAACCTTTCAGTTTTGTGTTTATTTGTATCAACGGTTTCTAGGGATCAATCTGGCTTCGGTGTCAATTTAAAATGTCATTAAAATAGCATTTATTTATTCAGTGCAACGCTGCTTTCTGTCCATGTTAATGGTGTTATGATAAAGCTTTTGGCATAAGCTCTCAAAGCAAAGTGTGTCAAAGTTCAGCCCATTCAAAGAGCTAACACACATTATCACAAGGCGACAACAATTAAGACAGATTAGACTTTCACACGGGTTTCATAGGAGGAAGTAACATCCTACTTTCCAGTGACTGCTGTCACTCTAGGCTATAGGAAGTCTGCAAATTTAAGCCTTTACAGGGTGAGTCACCTCCAAAGTTAATGGTTTTATGATGATTATCATACAGAGTGTTTGTAAGTATTTATTTTACGACATCATCTCAGGCACAGGCAATTGTCACAATCGTCACCACGCAGACTTGGGCTGCTATGGAAACGACAAGAATTCCCATTTCAGGGAATCTTAAGGAGGATTTAATGCCGATATTGCTAGGCAAAGAGTATCCCACATTGCTCTGGAATGTGTTGATGTGATGCTCATAGATACTGAATGACATTGAAGTCGTGAAACTGGCAAGCTAGGAGAGATCAATTCTGTCTTCACAATACCCATAGTACTGAACAGCTTGAATGCCTCTCAGCCTTAACAAACAGGAAGGCTTAGGAAGCCAAGGGCAGCTGTGCAGTGAGCATTCTTTCTTATCATGTGTAAGAGGGTAATGATTCCTCATGTGCCTCCTCTCTTATCAGTCTACCACTGGGTCAAGGATTCTCCTGAGTTATATCTCCTGCAGGATTGAGCCTCCATGTGAAAGAATCAGAGGACTGCCCTGCAGTTTGGAGGAAGCGTCGGGGGGGCAGGGTTGTGTGAAGTCCCTGTTATTGTCAGACTTCGCAAAGTGCTGTTCTGTTGCCAGTACATAACAATCTTGTGAAGACCTGTATGAACTACAAAGGAGTCTCAGACTCTGCATTGTATAAAAGCGAATCTGAGGATCTGACTGAAACTCTCTGTGCCTTAATTTTTTTCCTGCTTTGCCACCTCTTTGGGTGAACGCAGGATGGTGAACAGTGTACTTACTCTTGGGTGGAGGTGGCTCCTTAGGCCTGTAAGACCAAAAAAGAAATGTGTCACTCCAATGGTCATAAATATTCAGCAACAGAACTATTACCTTAGTGTAACTAAATCAGTGGCATCCCAAAAGAAGCACAAGACATTCATTTTCATTATAACTCGGGTGCATGCTGGGAGTCTGTGAAGCATTAATTTAATTTAAAAAATCCTGGACTGCAGGAATTGTTTTGGGTTTATTCCAAGAAATATAGATATCTTTACTTATAAATACCATGACTCATACAGTACCTACTGTGTATAAAATTAGCACGTGGAGCAAACAGACATTCAAGTACAATAGCTAGTTTGTACTCCACCCAGCTGATGTCTTTTGATCTTTCAACCCAGGTGGGAGTATTCTCGTCAAAAAAATAAGGAAAACTTGATGTTGCAGATTTACAGCATAATCTGCACGTGAGGTCTTACATTCTGGGCAGAGTTCATAGGACCCTGACCCAGTCCTTTGAGAAGTGGAGAAAGCTTAGGGGTTTCCTTACACTTCCTCTCCTTCCAGCAGGCGCCTGTAGGTGGCGATCTCCATCTCCAGGTTCTGCTTGATGCGGAGCAGCTGCTCGTAATCCGTCTTGTTGCGCTGCATGTCCAGGCGCAGCTGGGAGAGCTCCTCCTCCAGATGGGCGATCTTCATCCGCAGGCTCTCCATATCCGCGGCGTATTTCTGGGTGCTCTCCCCCAGGTTGTCCTCCAGCACGCCCACCTGGAGAAAAGAGTCCCAGGAGATGTTAGCCCCTCTTCTCGGCTCGTTGAGCCCCCCCATCGGTCTGGTTTTTAATGTATCCATTCCACTTATTCCGATATTCGTAATCAGGCCACTTATTTGGCAGGGTAATATGACCAGGAGCCATATCACCCTGCAACTCATAACTGAAGCTCAGCAGGTGTGAGCCTGGCCAGTACCTGGATGAGAGACCTCCTGGGAAAGCTAAGGTTGCTGCTGGAAGAGGCGTTAGAGCAGCCAGCAGGGGGCGCTCACCCTGTGGTCCATGTGGGTCCTAAAGCCCAAGTATAGTGACGGGGACACTAGACTGTAAACAGGCACTGTCCTTCGGATGAGACGCAAAACCGAGGTCCTGACTGTCTGTAGTCATTAAAAATCCCAGGGTGTTTCTCGAAAACAGTAGGGGTGTTACCCTGGTGTCCTGGTCAAATGTCCACTTGGCCTTTACCAATCACTTCCTAATAATCCCCATCTGTGAACTGGCTTCATCTCTCTGCTCTCCTCCCCACTGATAGCTGATGTGTGGTGAGCGTTCTGGTGCACTATGGCTGCTGTTGCATCATCCAGGTGGGGCTGCACACTGGTGATGGAGGGGATCCCTATTACATGTAAAGCGCTTTGAGTGGAATGTCCAGAAAAGTGCTATAAGTGTAAGGAATTATTACTTATTTAATTCAGTAGCTGTTTTACACCTTTTCTCGTCTGCAGGTTCTGGTTCAGCACAGCACAAGGCGATGTCGGTTTTGATTTCTGCTTTTCAGTCTTAGTCTAGTCCCGATCACGTGCTGCTAGTCTCTCACTTCCAGCCAAACAATGACCGAGTCATCTTCCTCCCACAGCAATCAAATAAAGAGAACAGTCCTTGTCCAATATCCTTGTCATGCTAAAAGACAATCCAGGAATTATATAAATATTAAAATGGCCCTACAGTAGATCTTCCAGTTAGACGCTGAAAAAAATATAAGCTTTAAAATGGAAGCTTGTTGCTTGCGAGAAAAGTGATTGCCTCAATTTAAGCCAGTCATGCAAAAGATTTACAGACTAATGTCTTTTCTCCGCAAAGTGACAGGTGACTCATGACGAGGGGTGTCCCTGGAAGACTAAAGGACTGACAAGCACAAGAAGTTAAGAATAACAATTCCTTACATTTATACAGTGCTTTTCTAGTCACTCAACTCAAAGCGCACAGCAGGAAAGCTCACTACACACCAGCTCTCAGTGGGGAGGAGAACAGAGTGATGGAGCCAGTTCAGAGACAGGGATTATTAGGAAGCCATGATTGGTAAAGACCAGGGGGATTTGACCAGGATGCTGGGATAACACCCCTACTGTTTTTGAGAAACACCCTGGGATTTTTAATGACCACAGAGAGTCAGGACCTCGGTTTTACATCTCAAAGTAAAGGTGCCTTTTTACAGTATACCTTCACTATACTGCGTCATTAGGACCCACACAGACAGACCGCAGGGTGAGCGCCCCCTGTTGTCCCCAAGAAATAAACAACCCCTTGGATCATTCTTGGATAATGTCCTTCCTGAGCAGGGAAGAGGCACGCTGGCAAAGACACTTGGAAATCCCTGTTACAGAAGCCTGTTCTGGGCCCTTCTCTGAGAATACTTCACTGCCTGTGCTTCTCCAATCATCCCATTGCGAAGACACATTTATTTTTTAACACTAGCATTTCATCGCTCAACACATTTTTTACATTGCTACAGCGCATGAGAAATTGCGTAGGATATCAAAGTCAATTAAGAAATATTTCACCATCTGTCTGCTTTGGTATGAGTGTTGAAATCTTTGTCACGAACCTATCGTCTTTTTTTTTGTTGCTGTAACCAGTAATGCTGGTAATGGAACCTGAGAAAGCCAGTTATTAATTAATAATTAGTGTCTGTAGGAGTATCAATCTGGATTTGCTGGATTAGACGAGTAATACGAATGGAACCTGGTTAGGAAATGATGTCTAAATCTATCGATTAACTGGAGATATTTTTGGAAAAGGATTATTTGTAATTCATAGTCATTTCTGCACACTGCAGAATAAAACACGTTCAAACTGAGGAAAACAACCAACTTCAGAGCAGAAGAACTCAAACCAAAGTTTGTGCTGTTTATTCTGTGCCCTTCACACAAGAAGGGACACAGAAACCTTAAACCCAGAGAAAGCCACAACAAATGTTTTTTTTTTCCAGGAGCACAAGACTTCAATAATATCAATAGTATATGATATTATGTTATTCCAGATTGTACCTCACAATTCTGATTCTATCATAATTCTTAACTAGAAAAATGAGAGCTGTTTATCTCCTGCAAAAGCTGCCGATTGCAATGAAATCGAGAGTTACTAATTTGGAAAGGCGAATGACGCCCTTCAGTTGACAAAGGTGAGTCAACACTACATTTGAACAGATGCAATTAGAACGCAATCATTTGATCTTGATTCATCTACTGCACACAATGGCAGGGAAACGTTCCACTGCTTTAGCTGTGGCTGACGCACAATGGACTGCAGAAAAGTCTCATCCTGTGAAAGAGAATTTAAAACACATTTGTCCTTGGCATTGCTTGTTTAGCCCTGCTGGGACAAAGGTAACATTAATTAATCTGTCTTCATTCATTCAAGATAAAAGGGGAAATGTAGCAAATATGGGCTTAGCTTAGATGGGACACAGAGTCAATACAGGAACTGTCTGTCTGACTGTCTGTCTGAAGAAGTGATAATTTCAGCTATGAGGATAGCACAAATGCCAGCTTTTCAAGATGGGTCCCATTGTTTTCCAAAAAGTGCTAGAACTGAGGTTATTTTAAGAAGTGACATGAATCATCTAATCAACAGGGAAAATAAAAAGACATCTCCAATGTATTTTTGAAGTTTTAATATTTTCACAATCTCTTTTTCGGTAACCGTTTCTGCTTTGAACTGTAGCTAAACCTAGGTGTTTTTCACCCCTTCATCACAATCATCTTATTAAAAACCTACAATAATGTAATAATGTTTTAATTTAGTCTAATCGACTAAATGTTGATGATAAAACAGGTCGGGGAGGAACATTTTCCTCATAGGTTTCGTGGCCTTAACACTGCATGTGTATTCATGGGGATGACGATGATTAGGCTTTGTGATGCAACTCACACAGGAGGTCAGCCGCAGGGACAGACCGGACAGCGGCTAGCTGAGCCTCACCTGCTTCCGAAGGCTGTCCAGCTCAACTTCAAGCCCCTGCAGGAAACGTCGCCTCTCGCTCAGCTCGCTCTGGGCATTCTGCAGAGCCTCGTTGCTCTCCTTCACCTCCACCTGCACCGTCTCCAGCTGCAGAGAGAGAGAGAGACACCAGGCACATTGCTGGAGCATGACCAGCAGACCAACGCCAGGGAGTTCTCCCGAGCTTAAACCAATGTCTGCCCGGCTGAGGAAAAATAGGGCCAAGCATCAAAAGCAGAAAAAGTCATTATCCACATCTTGGCTCTGTGGCTCAGGATCTGCGCCTGTGGCTGGAAGGCTGCCAGTTCGTATTCCGCAGCCGGCAGAGGAATCCTACTCCGTTTGGGCCCTGAGCAAGGCCCTTAACACCAGCTGCTCCAGAGGTGCCGTATAAAAATGTCTGACCCTGCGCTCTGACCCCCAGCTTCTCTCCCTGTCTGTGTGTCTCATGGAGAGCAAGCTGGGGTACGCAAAAAGACAAATTCCTAATGCAAGAAATTGTATATGGCCAATAAAGTGATCTGATCTCTCACCTGGGGGAGGCAGTGCTTTCTATTTAGCTGTGAGTGTAAAGTGCTTCCTATTGTCGGTTCACAATTCACTTGTGGTTACAGAAATTTGCATCTGCGCCCTTTGAATTTCCATCCTTGGACTCTGAAATTTCCATCTGTCTTCTACCCATGAGAAAAGCACATGCCCTCATGCTGTTTCACCACAAAGCTTCTGTAGTCCTAGGCGTTTTTCACTTAACATTACATACAAAAAGGCTCTTGTTCGTGCATGATAAAGAGCAAAGAGCAAAACGCAGCTAAAATGCAGACCAGACACATTTACATAATTTAGTGCTATATCGCGTGGACGTGAACCCAGCCGATCACATCAGGTCCTTCACAAAGCCGCACCTGTCGGTGACCTCGAAGGGCCAAGCGATGAGTGATTAGTCAAATCAGCACTGAGCTAGTTTTGTGAATAAAGGCTGCTGCATACAAGGGAATATTGTGACAGAACACACTCTGTTTTCTGGACACTAAAGATTAATTCACATTAACACTGGGTTACATTTGGTTTTCCTCCAAAATGGACATTATTTTTAAATAGTTCAGATGTGCAGCTGCATCAGCATGCGTAGGCTGCAGAGGAACAAGTAATAGGTTTATTCCATGCTGAAGAGAGCAGAAACAAAAACACAACGTTTCGGCTGTGGCGCCTTCTGCGGGTGTGAGCGCTTGTGTTTTCTTTCTTTTCTTTTCAGCATGGAATAAAATTATTTTTATATACTATACATATATAATATTTTATATTATTTATACTGTATATACAATACCTGTCTGGGTGCTGTAATTTAGAGGAATCTGTGTCATACCATTTTCAGGAAAGGGTTTGGCTGAGGTAAAGGGCGGATTTGTGCGCCAGACATCATGGCCCAGTAGGCCTCACTGACCTTTTTCTGGTACCAGGCCTCGGCCTCCTCCTTGTTCTTCCGCGCAATGCCCTCGTACTGGGCGCGCAGCTCGGCCAGAACCAGCCCGAGGTCCGGGCCCTGCGCCGCGTCCACCTCCACGTTCACCTGCTCGTTGGCTAAACGATCCCTGAGGGCCGCCACCTCCTGGAAGGACAAAGCAGACACCCAACACCCCGGTGAGTGGCGGTGCTTTCTTTCACACAAGAGCCAGGTGTTGTAGGCCTCAAACGGGAAAACAACATTCTCTCAGAAAGAGGAAGGTGAGAATTTCACATAAATTTTTAACCTACTTCCTCTAAATAGTTAATAGTACAATGTAGAGGCCCCAACAGGCTTGTGTCAAATTTCAGCCCCCTTTGACTTGCTTTGTATGTCATTTATCCTCAGACTCAGAGTGATAGTTTTACAATGAGGCTCCCCGCCCGCTGTCTAAATAAGCCCGTTTGTCAGCTCCCAATGTTATTTTATCTGTTGTGTTTGCTGTATGCATAACTGTATCTACACAACAACAAAAAAAAAACTGGGAGGGATTTTCTGTTTGCTATCGGATTTGCCAGAGGGAACATCAATAGCTCCCCCACCCTAACGGAGATTAAAATTAACCCCCTGCTTCCTCGACACTTCCATCTGTAACTCATGATTTTGTATTTCAATAACAAATCTTCCTCCTCCCCAGTAAAGTAGTAACAAAAGGCTGTGAACTAGGTATAGATTACAGTATTCTATTCCTTCCCTTCAGCTGGAGTTCTCTAAAGATTCATTTCAAATATAGGCCAACGAACAGAAGGCCTAATATTTTAACAGCTATCCAGCTCCATACTGCCTGAAGTATCACTCCGAAATTAAGTATTCTAACTCTTAAGAAGTCACTGCAGAAATCATGTTCCCAAAATGCCTTCTAAATGATCTTTAAAACGAATTGCTTCCTCTTCATTCCCAAAGAACTGTAAACGAGTGCCTGTTGTCTACCAAAAAAGTACATTTGCAAGAGATTAAAATCCTTATTAATCAATTTCTGAATGTGCTGTTAAGTGTATTAGAAACAGGCTGTGTGGTAGTGACCAGGGAACAGTCAAGCGTACATTTCTAAACTCAAGGCCTACTGTTTCTTATTGATCCTTACGGTAAATAAGATGAAACGATCCGGGCTTTCATTTTTTTTTTGGCATTCAAAAAAGAGATTTGGGTTTAAAGCCACTGAAAGACAAAGCAACCCAAAGTTGATATGGTACCGCCCTTATCCTCTTGCTGCCTCACACAAAAGCTATGGAACAAATGGAATCTGTTTGAAGCCATGGGGTCATCCCTTCAGCTGTGGGATAAAATGAACCTGTTGTTGGTCAATGACGAAGCACTTTCAAGGTCACAGCAAAGGTCGACACAAATGGGATATATCCATGCCTGTTCACAGGGCTCCAATTCAGTAGGGGAGTTTGTAGACTTTGTTTGTAGGGCTTGTAATCGGAGGCTGGACCTACCTCCTCATGGTTCTTCTTGATGAAGTACAGCTCCTCCTTCAGGCTGTCCAGGTCCCCTCTCAGAGAGGCGATGATCTGCTCGTGGTCAGTCTTGGCCTTCCTCAAGGCCTGGCAGTCTCTCTCCACTGACTGGCTCAAGGCAGCCTCCGTCTCCCACCTGTACCCAGCGACGACAAAAGGGAAATCGTTTCGACCTGTGTCCTCTTTTATAGACTGTCGTGACTCCCGTAGAAGTAAAAAATTGTTTTGGCGAATACAAGCGCAGTGATTCATCTTTCCTATCATCTCAATGGCAGTGATTCTTCGTCTCACTTTAAGAAGCACTGGCTGAGCTCCTAGCTGAAAACCGAGCAGAAACGCACTGAAAACTGAGCAGAAAGTTGTGGGGAACTGGGGAGGAGTTCATAAAAGAGGCATGGAGTTATTTCATGGAAGATCTTTAAAGCATGGATTCATGTTATCATGGGGAAAACCGGACTAGCTGCTTGTAGGATATGAGGGTAGCCAAGCGTATTATCTGTAAACACATTTGAAGAGGATGTTTCAGAAATGGCACTTGCACGCTTCTGATTTTATATTGTCCTGTTCATCAAAAAACAAAACATGAACGGAATTGAAAGCTCTGAATTGAAAACATTGAAAGACATTAACTTTCACTGCTGTTTTGTGCTGCAAACAATAAGGATGATTACCTCCACTTTGAAGCACACTTGTGAATCATTTCCTACATGTACTGTAACTATATTAGAGGCACATAATGGTTAGTTTCGTCCCATTACTGGTCTTAGTCTGTACTTTGTATGATGCAGGAGAATTATAAGTAGAGCTGAGGTACAACTGAGGTTTAACCTTTCGCTGTCCTAAACTGCCCATCTTATAACCAACACCAGGTGGACAACTGGAACATCAGCAAGATTACAGCTGGATTTAGCCCCTACCCTGGAAGGCTGTCAAAGGGGATGGGAACCTTCACAGCTTTTTTTTCTTCCCTCAGGGCACTTTCTCCAAATCACGATTGAATGATTGAATAATTCCTACTTTCCAGTAGGAGTTTGTTCTTTCGTTACAAGTTCCTTGAATCCTAAATCGTAATGTGCAGAAACTGGAACAGAGAATGTGATGTAATGCGCTTACGTAGAACATGATGTGGTCACAGATTGGTTTTACCACGCTGTCGGTCGTAACTTTTGATAACCATGATTTACTACCTTAGTATGTAAACTGTTGTTTACAAACACTATTAATAGGAAATCAGGTATGGAATTTGCTAAGAATTTGTTTAAAAGGAGATTCATCACAATGACCAAAGTTTGCCATTGAAATGAAGTCTTTCTCGGTGGAACGTACTTGTTTGTATGCCCTATACACACTTACTTGACTCTGAAGTCATCCGCAGCTAGTTTGGCGTTATCGATCTCCAGCAGGATTCTAGCATTTTCCAGGGACTTTTTTCGGACCTAGAAAGGCAGGAAGCGAGAATCCTGAAGCGCTGCATCCAAGCGTGACGTTCAAACAAAAGGGCAATGTTTAATGCCACGCTGTTGTACTGTCTCAGTAACATCCACCTTAACTTGTGGTTAAGAGATTTTGCTTTGTGCATGTGAAGTGACTGTGTAAATATCCAAAGAAAATATCAGGACAGAGAAGATTTGCATTGAAGTATGTAAATACGATTTGTTTATATTTGCCGTGCAAATTGTTTTAGCTGCAGTAAACCATTCTAAAAAAATGGTTTACTTCAATAGTGCAGGGGAAGTATATTAGTCAATTCTAGACATTACCAGTGCATGCCAGATAGCATAGGATTACACATACAAAAATATATCATTTCCATGAATCAAACAGTTATTCTTTCCACAAATGTTCACCGACCTCTTATTTTTCATTAATTCAGCTGACATGTTTATCCAGAACAATCTACTTTTGTATCCATTTATACAGCTGGGCATCTTAACTGGAATAATCTGAGTGTAGTACCTCACTCAAGGGTAAAACATCAGTTCCCCACTCAGGCACTGACCCAGAGTCCTAACCACTCCATCCACAATTTAAAAATCTATAGCCGGATGACTGTGCTTAAAATACTAGCAAACCATTTTCCAGGATTTACATTTTTTTGTAACGATACTGTAGGATGTGGTAACTGAAACCTCTCATTTTATCTGTCGTTACACAGCTCTGTAACACATATCTGTAAGATCCTTAAAAACATGGCAAACAAGACTCATGGCAAGTGAACTCTGGGGAATTGGGAGCTATATCCATTAAATACATCCATTAAAAAGATAACCTTTTAATCCTTACATTGGTACACAGCCTGAGTTAACCTAATATTTAAACATGGAAAGCCCCAGAATGAAGTTGATTTACACTCTGTATACTGCATTAGTGCAGTGTAAATAGAAAAAAAAAACACTTACAGGGAGATTATGTTTCTCCAGTGCTACAGGGCAGAATACATAAAAGTGCAGAACTAAAAAGACACCGTGCCAAATTTACTAATTTCTTCTCGTATGAAAATCAGCGAATCGGAGCTACATTTGCCTCTTAAACAGTCATAAAGACAAAAGCAGTTGTTTAACCTTCAAATTGCTTTCCAGTGATGACTCACGCTGTAGCAACCAGCCACTATTTATAATGCACACAGTTTCTGACAGAATCCTACTCAAACACAAAATTAGAAAGAGGAGAATGCCTGACATTATTAGCCTTGCTGTAAGAAGTCGTAGTGTTTAAGAAGTAGCTGTACCAGCGCTCTTTTAATTAGGCGGTTTGTAATTCAAAAAGCAGAAATGATACAATACGTTATAAGAACGTCAAGAAAGGACACCGATCAGAAGGGACTTTTTTCATCTGGCCACTTCAATGTAAAAAGACCTAGGAATGACAAGGAGACGCAAGAGAAACAGGGAAGAGGTCAAGGGTGACAAGGGGGCTAGGACTCACCTCCTGACTGAGTGCGTGGGCCTGAGCCATCATGGCCTCAATATCGCGGGGCTTGGGGGCTCTCTCGACCATCAGCTTCTTGATCTTGAGCTCCAGCTCCGCGTTGGACTTCTCCAGGGAGCGCACCTTCTCCAGGTACTTGGACAGGCGGTCGTTCAGCCCCTGCATGGTCTCCTTCTCGTTTGGGACCCCGGCGCCGCCGAGCACGGCCAGCCCGTTGAGGCTGTTCCCCACGGAGGTGGCCCGGGACAGGGAGGCGGAGGTGAAGGAGATGGGCGCCCGGGATCGATTCCACGAGCTCTCTCGCAGGGACGCGCTGGAGAAAGAGGGCTTGCGCCCGCTGGTGCTGAAGCTCCTCATGGACATGGTCGACGTCATGGTAACCGCTGAGGACGGCAGAATGAAAACAAGGGGCCCGTTTTCAAAACCACAACTTCTGAGTCTTGTTTTTGAAATACTTTCTTTTTAATCAAAGGTTAAAGCGGCAATTCAGTATACCAATACTTTCTTGACTCTGTATTATTGCTAAAAAGATAATATTGCGAAAAAAGTTTGGACAAAACAGGACCGTCATACAAAGAATGGATTAAAGAGGCTGTATCACAAGAAAAGATTTTATATAATTAACAGAAATATAGGAATATAGTATAGGAATGTTTGGGGCCCATGAGAGACATACTTGAATGGCACAGGACGTTAAGAATATCAATAGGAAGTTTTTGAATTAAGCTTTTTTTTCTTGTTGTTTTTTACTTATTTTTTGTGAATGTAAGAAAAAAACAACAACCAAAAAACAGAGTGACAAAAAGAGAAAGAAGAGAAAAAAAAACAAACTTTTGAGTCTTCAAGTGCCCCAAAATGACCTATCAGAGAATAGAGAAAGGACATCCATCCATTTAGAGGTCTGGTGTCGGTCATGGTTCCCTGATGACACCCATTAGGTGTTTCATGGCTAGTTAAAAGAATCTCCTTGAACGGTTATGATTTGTTCTAATCTGAAGAACGATAGATATTTCCTGAGGGATTCGTTGAGACCCTAATGGAACAAAACATAAATTGCTCTCTTTTTCCTGAAATACATACGGCGCAGGAGGGAATACTGACTTTAAAAAAAAACGGAAATGGGAAATTAAAAACAGCAATCTGTTATTTTCTGTAGGCACTTAAGTGTATTTTTGTAAATTAACACCTGGTCACTTAAAAAGTAGAGAATATCACTTGCGATATTAGCTTTTAAAATTAATATTGTGCAATACAAAATATTGTTTAAAATTATTTTAGAATCTTTATACATATATATTTAACAAAGGAAGGTTGTGTACAACACCACCTCCACAAGCAAGAACTTGATGTTTCAACCTGGGAAAGAAAAAACAATACAATTTAAGTCTTAGAAAAATTAAACATATTTAATACCAGGTGTCTAACAGACAACATACAAGTCCATCTTGTACAGATTCACAATGATGCAGCTGAAATGAAACTTTACCCTACAGAAATCAGGTAAAAAGATTAATGACATACAAAACAGGGACATTTTTTTAAAGAAAGACGTATTATACAGGTTCAGAAGACAACTAGAAAAAATAGAATCTAGGAATCAGGTATACATTGATCTTTGTAGTATCCTCACAGAAAAACTAAAAAGAGATAAAGTGTTGTACTTACTGAGATACAGTATAGCCCAGACTGCAGTAAATAGTATTTCTCAAGGAAATAGTCTCTCCTCTGACCACTGCTGGAACCAGTGACCTGAATATAAAGGACTCGCATTTGCATTTCCTACAGACACCTGGCTGAGGCGTGGCTTCAGATGAAAGCCTACACTGTTATCTCTCAGATCTGCATGCATGACTGGAGCGACTACAGGATCAGCCTCTCACCAGCAGCCTGTGAGGAGAACCTGCACGAAAGAAAATGTTTAGCAGAATTAAAAACTGTACAGGGTGGGTGGTTGTCACTTACTGCTGTGAAGAGTCCTGCCATTCCCCGAGTCAACAGCCGACACCTGTGAACTGAAGAACGTGAAGACAAGGGCATTAGTCCTTGAAGTAAAGAAGGCTGAATGCAGTTTGGTGGATATATCGATATATAAAGAATGACAATGCTAAAACTTCATGGCCAAAATTGAGTTTTATTTAATATAACAAAGGTACGCACTTTCTCAGTTGTTTGCAAACAGCGGGGAATGTGGAGATGAACTTCACTTTGGTTGATATTAAGGTTAAAGATGACAGTGACAAAGTCATACAGTGAACACCACTTAAAATAAACACTCGGTGATCTTCAGGTGATGATTTTCATGATATTGTAGAATTTAAACTACTAATAGCAAAAACAAAATAACACCTCTTTCCAATTTATTTACAACGTTCGGGGGCTTTTATTACATCGATTCATAGTATATACAATTATAACCGTAAGAACATCTGTACGCAAATGGTTGTAGGAGTCTGGAACAAGCTACCCAGCTTACATTGTTGAATATTCTGTTTCTTTCAAGAAATAACTGGATGAGATCCTTGCATAGCTGCCAGAAACCAAATGAAGTACAGTAGATGTGCTGAATGGTCTCTTTCAGTTTGTATCATTTCTTATCTTCTTATGTGTGACATGCAAAATATTAAATAATCAAAAGATTGTTAACATTTAAACCACTTGTCAAGTCTAAATCCAATTGCTACCTTTGTATTTGCAATTCTCTGCAACTACTTAAAATCATACCGAATCCCCGAGTCTGTGAAACAGACATGAAATGTCAGGAGCTTTGCTCTGCTCCTTATGATACTGAATCAGGCTCGGTGTGTAGTTTGAGCTACTGAAATGTAATTAAATGTTTAGAAATTTGAACAGACGAAGTCCCCAACCCAAGACATGAGCTGAATCACTTCGGAGTTGTGAAAGATCTTCAATTTCGGCTTGTTGAAACAAAGTGCATTAACGACGTTGTTAAGTGGGAGACTTGATTTATGACGACCATGTTTTCCTTTGAATTGTTACGTTTAAAAAAGTTTTTTTTAAAGGATCACAGAGGAAGGAAAAACTAACGAATACTTGGTTTGTGTCAGTTTTGGTCTGTGGGAGATTTAGCCAAATCCCTTTCATCAGAAATTTGGGAAGTCAGATTGCGGGTATATATGCCCACCCCAGCCTTAATTCACCTTCATGACAGCCACTCCAAAAAAAATTACACATTACACACTAGTAATTTTTAATGCACTTTTTCCTATGTCAAGGTACAGAGTGTATACTGTAATTATAAATGCAGAAGGAAAGGTGATATTGATTCAAGGCTGAGAATGTTTATTGAAAAAACACTGACTCTCTCACGGATAACAGGTTGGAGTTTGTCTTTGTCAGGACCACCTACTGTACCTCAGGCTGTGAAGCTCAGGACTGATCTTCGGATACAGCTGCTTTTATCTGACATGTGACACAGAGTCCACACAGGGAATTTTCCTTGATGCTACAAACAACCATTCAACTGAAGGGGTAGCACTTAATAAACAAGTCTCTAACACGTTAATAACTCATGCATGCAATAAAGTATTCATGTAAGAGAAAAATTTCTATTAAACACAGAATTAAGCATTAGTTAGCAATTAATTTCTACTAGTTTTTTAACACTCTGGCTATGCTCTGTTAATATGTTACAGGATATAAAGAATTTGCAGGCTAAAATGGTACATGAATCAATTCTTGTGTACAAACATATTATCCTATATATTAAATCCCATATAATATCTTTTTGAACCTTAATTTCACTTACTAGCATTGTCTTTTGTAGAAGAGCCAGTCTGTAATAACATAAGATAAGATCACTTTATTGGCCATATATATTGGCCGCGGGATTCGAACTGGCAACCTTCCAGCCACAGGCAACAAATAAAAGGCAGGTGTTTAGGACAATGAGATAAAAAAAAATACACATTTGAATTTCAGTGCACGACAAGGGTAAGGATACATATGAAACTTGGAAGTTGAAACAACATTTTTATTTGGGCTTGATGGCATTTTTTTAAATCTCCGAGAGGAGGTTTCAACGAGATTCAAAATCCTGACATTGCAAAACCTGCGCAGAAAATTGATTTTTGTTGGTTTTGGACACAATGGTGCAGGTACCATTAAAAAAAAAAGCAAATGCTTGGTATTTTAATTTAAAGACCTGCTGATCTGGATGATTCCCAGGAGGCAAGCAGTTCTTGGAATGTGTCAAAATGTAAGCGCAGTATATGTGGCACCAACTCGAATTCTTAATTCTTACACTAATGCAAACAGGATGTGTGTCAGATGAAGCTGCACCCATTATTTGACATGGAATGCTGAGACGTGCAAGAGAGTTATGTGCAAATGCCAAGCACACAAACTACAAATATGAAAAGGGCAACCCTGAGCTCGAAGACATTACTTATGTAAAACACTTTGATGTTCATGCTGACACTGTCTTCTATACAATGCAGGAAAGCAATAAAAAAATAAATAAAAAATTCAAAGGCAAACATAATCATAGGAGGAGTTTTAAGAATCTCCAGGCGGGTACATTCCCAAACTATCTACTGGCATCCACTGGCAGGGATTTTTGGACTTGAACAAAATAGACTATAAGGGCACCTGATTCAAGCATGCGAAATTCTCAGACATTGATTGACCAGGAGGCGTTTTTACATGAAGGCCTGTGGGTGTGTGGAACACGCTCCCTAGCCATGTTGTCTTGGTGGATACCGGTGCTTTCTTCGAAGAAATTGAAGGATGAGATATTGGAACAATTAACTGCTCGGATAACCAAACGGGTCTGTTGTTCGCAAACCTTAGGCTCCTATGAAGACCTGAGTGTTAGATTTGATTGGCTATTTAGGGCTGAACTCCATATGAAAAGCACCGGCCCCCCTCATTTCATTTGCCAGCGGGTATCAAGTCACCAGGCTGAAACGAGCCATGTTTTTTCCTCTTGTTTGTTTAAATATGGAACCTTTTACTGTATGTTATCTTTAAACAACATCTTTAACCTTAATAGATTGCTACACAGCCTAGGACATAAAGATCATTGAACGAACGGGCAGACAAAGATGGAAATGTGAGATTTCAATGGCTGTGCTGAGGAGTCCAGACTCCTGACAATGCCATTTTGCAATCCGGAGGAATGCAAGGGAGTTCCAGTAATACAGTTCGGACAATGCAGCGAAAACACACAGGGAAAAAGAGACTCCTGGGAAATAACCTGACGTTGTTCAAAGAACAGCTCAAGGGAGCACAGACCAGAGGCTTTAACCAGAAGCTTCTGTTGTGGGAAATCCTTCATCAAAGGAGCAGGACACAATCTTGCGTGGATTCAGTTGTTTTATTGAGCTCAATAATGACATCAGCGCGCGTTGGGTCTGCCCCGCAGGACAGACAAACCGCAAGGGTTTTCCAGCTCTTATATACAGTATGATCTCAGGAAGATGTTTTGTTTCACTGCTTCATGGGTATTCGTCTTGCCCTTTGATATGTAGCAAGAGTTGACTTGACTTGACTTGAACTTTATTGCCATATGTAACCGGTGCTGGTACAATGGAATTCTTACTTACAGAAAGTCTCTCGATTGTAAAACAAGTGTAAAAAACAAAACAAAGTGCAAACAGTGCATCAAGACAATGTACAAACAAACAATAGACAATGTGCAAGTAAACATGCAGACAGTTTGAATGTAAACAATACAGACGTGTAAACAATGACTGGAGACGTACAATAAATAAATTACAATGAGGTAGATGGTGATGGTGTAGGTGTGGTCCGAGGGGGATGGCTAAATGTGTTCGCCAGTCTCACTGCTTGTGGATAGAAGCTATTGAAGAATCTAGTGGTAAGTGACCGTATGCTCTTATATCTCTTGCCTGAGTGCAGTGGGGTGAAGAGCTCATGCCCGGGGTGGTGACTGTCCTCTGTGATGGCCAGAATTCTACCACGGCAGCGGTCCTCATAGAGCTGTTTAATCTCGGTGAGACCGCAGCCGATGATCTTCTGGGCCATATTGACCATTCTCTGCAGTGCCTTTCTTTCTCGCGAAGAGGTGTTGCCATACCACACGGTGATCCCGTTGGTGAGGACGCTCTCGATAGTGCAGCGGTAGAAGTTCACCAACACATGTATTGGCATCCCCTATCGCTTGAGGCACCTCAAGAAATAAAGGCGCTGCTGAGCCTTCTTCATGATAGAGTCAGTGCTCACAGTCCAGGTTAGATCTTTAGAGATGTGAATTCCCAAAAACCTAAAGCTGGTGACTGTTTCCACTTCCGTTCCATCAATACTGAGTGGGCTGTGAGTGTGTGGCCTGTGTCTCCGAAAGTCCACTATTAGCTCTTTCGTTTTCTTTATGTTCAAGTCCAGGTTATTGCTATGACACCACCTAAGCAGCTGTACAACTTCATCCCTGTAAGTGGACTCGTCATCATCACTGATCAGTCCTATTATAGTGGTGTCATCGGCAAACTTAATGATGTGGTTGGTCCTGTCCCAAGTCCTGTCCTTTGATATGTAGAATGAGTTGACCAGTTTGTCCTGTCTCAAGTCCTGTCCTTTGACGTGTAGCTGTCCTTTCCTTTGATGTGTAGCTTTCAGGTCCTGTCCTTTGATATGTAGCATGAGTTGACCAGTTGGTCCTGTCTCAAGTCCTGTCCTTTGATGTGTAGCTGTAATTGTTGGAGCTGCTTAAGATATGTTAAGACAGCCGACATATTACACAATGTGCTTGAATTAATACTGTAGTGTTGAACACGGATACATCATGTATATATTT